AGAGAGCGAGAACGTGTGTGCACGTGGGTCTGGCTGTGGGGTCTCTGGAGACTCAGGACTCTGGCAATGCCGTGTGGACCTAGCTCCCCACCCCTACCCCTTCTTCAACCAGAAGCATTCGGCAAACAGCCACTGCCTCCCTGTCCCCAGTGCCACACTGCGACTCATCTGGAAGCGGTGGTTGGGGGGGGGGGGGCCCGCGAGGCAGGGGAAATGTGAAATAAGACGGGAGAAACCGCTGGCTCCAGGAACAATTGAATGGGCTTGAGGGTGGGCTGGGTGGAGATCACTGCTACAGGTTTTTTTTTTTTTTAAACCTTTATTGTTAAAAGTATTACATAGATCTTCCTCCCCCCAACCTCTTCAGCCCGCTCCCACCCCACTGTCTGTGTCCATGGGTGATGCATCTGCATACAAGTTCACTTGCTGACCTCTCCCCCTGCCCCCCTTTCTCCTGCCTTTCCTCTGAGGTCGCTCAGTCTGTCCATGTGTCTGTCTCGGGGCCTGTTTTTGACCAGGCAGGCCTTCCTTAGCGATGGACGGTCTTCGTTCGTGATGAGCTGGCCAGGTGCCGCTCCTGGGTGAGCCGTGCCGCTCAGAGGGTGGGGCGATGCAGTGAGGGTGAAGGATGGGCACGCCCTCCAGCCCATGGGCAGCCACCACGGGAGGACCGAGGGTGTCAGCTCGGGGAGGAGAAGCCTCCGGCTCGGCCTCTGTCCGTTTGGAGCCTGGCTCGCCCCCCCCCCCCCGGCATGTCCAAGGCCCCGCATCCATTGCCATCACACGCGTGGTGCCTGTCCCCCATGACCCCTGAGCGCCTGGACTCCCTCATCACGGTGCCACACGGTTCCGACCGAACATGAGGGGGGTCAGGCGAGGGGATCTTGGGGTCCACACCCTATCCCCTCTCTTCCTCCCGCATTGCACATCCCTCTAAAGCACACGCTCCTGTGCTTTCTCACTCACCGCTGAAAACAATCCTGTTACAAATGAATATTGCTGCGGCTGCTCCTCCCTCCTGCTCCCCAGCTCCCTTGCATCTAGGTGCCCTCTCTATTCCCCAGCAGCGTCCCTAGGAGGCAGAGAGGGAAGGAATCCCTCTCTTGGCTCTTCCTATGTAGACACAGGAGCCCTGCAAGTGGCGTGGAGCTAGCTCAAGGCCACGGCTGTTGCTGGGAGAGGCAGGCCCAGCCCGGAGCTGGAGTGCACGCCTGCCTCCCCCGTGTGCCCTGGCCCACAGCCTTCTGTGCCGCTGTCCCCACGGAGCTCTGGCTCCCGCGGGCCCACTCCCCCGCGCTCCCATTGTTCTCCCTGCGCTCGGCCCCCGCTCCGGCTCCTTTGTGGGTCACGGGGAGAAACTGGGGCTCCTGCTTTTGTGAAGTGTGTCTCCGATCTTATCGCCTCCCTTCGCTCCTAATCGGGACTCGGTTGCCCATGTCTTGGATGAGCTGAGGACAGAGCGTGACTTGAACCGGGCGCGGCCCACGTGTCTCCCCGGCCTCTCCCTTCCCCTCCGGCCGCCCCACTGGGCTTGGCCCTGGGGCTGCGGTCCTAGTGTGCGGTCCTGGGGCCTTGAGGGACTTGGGTTCCCTGCATGCACTGCGTTCCCGTGTGTGTGTGTGTGTGTGTGTGTGTGTGTGTGTGTATGTGTGCATGTGTGTTTTGTGTGGCAGCTCCCTTCTTCTCTGGGTCATGCTGCAGCCTCTTTACATCTTGATCGAAGCTTGTCCGGACTTTCAAAATCCCTGTGTTCTACCAAGCAGAACTGGGAGATCACCACCCCGCAGCCTGGAGAAGTCCTGGGAGCCCTCCACTAACCGGGTGTCCCGCTTCTTGGCTGCTTCATGGGGGCGTTGATCCGTAAGAAGAAATGTCTGCAGAGCCCTGCCTAGGCGCTCGGCAATTTGCAGAGGCTCTTAACCTCCACCACCTGCCTCTCCCCCAGAAAACCTCGTGTGGCTGGGCTATCCTTCCCCCGTTTAACAGATGAGAAAGCGGAGGTTTGGATGGGCTAATCCACTTGTCCCAGCTCTCGGGGTGAAGGGGTAAAAACCACACTGACAGCAGCGGGGAGACAAGGAGACAGTGGCTGCCAACTCTGGGTGCTTGATGCTTAGAAGACCGAGTGGGCTGTGCCAGGATCACCCTATTCCCCGTGAGGGACACTGTTTACCTGTGGCCTTCCTTCCTTTTGGCCCCTGTGGACTCTGTTTTATGGGGCGATGCTAACTCACCCTTGGGGGTTAACAAGATCGTCCAGGGAGGATGCTGAGCTGGGAAAGAGAGGGGGCTGTTGAGAGTCATCACACCCAGTGGCTGTCTTGCATGTGGCATAGGCCGTGGCTGAAGGGCTGGCCTGGTGACCTCAGGAGCTGTCTGCCCCACCCATGGGGGGCTGGCTGGGGGCCCTGAGAGCCATTCCCCACTCTGCCCAGACCCCCAATGGGTTGCCTGACACTCCCTGCCGTGGAGGGGAGAGACACACTCTCTTGGGGAGGATGTCTAGTTGCGACCTGGTCTGAATGGCGACAACTCGGTGGTGTTCAGCACATGTGGGGGGAGGGGGGAGGGGGCTGGGAAGCTGCTTGAAGGAAGGAGAAAGCTGACAGGGTGGGCAGGGAGGTGGCTGACCAGGCCCATGTCCTGTCCACTGTTATTGAGCCAGATTAGAACTTGGCTGGACTCAGTCTTATCCTTGTACATAATTTAATTTTGGGAAAAATTAAAAGATGCGTGTGTGGTGGGGGGTTGGGTAAAGGCAATGGCTAAGGAGAGAAGATTTCAAAAGAGGAAGATCAGTTAGGTTAGTAGCGTGTTTTAGGGGTCGCTCCCCAAGCCACGGTGCTCTCAGGGGAGCCGGGGAGCCCCATGGAAGGAGACGATGGCAGATTCCCACGCCCAGTCTCCTGCCTCCGGGAAGCATGGAGTGCGTCCTAAGGATGCCACGGAGCCCTTTAAAAACGCCCCGCACCTTCACCCCACAGGCATCTCACCAATGCTCCGATGGGCACCCCCGGTGACCAGCTCCAGGCACCTTCATCCCTGAGCCCGTCCATGCCACGCCCTGTGCAGGTCCCCGTCCGTCCGTCTGTCCGCCCTTTTGCAAAGAGACGCCACTTTGGGGACCTGATTGGGAAGAGGGAGAGCCACACGTCCCTGCCATCGAACCAGATGCTCGGCGGGGCCGTCCCGTCCCAGGCCTGCCTGCCACTGGTCACAGCTGGTCTCTCACTCCATGGCCACGGAGGTTTCCACGGCTGTTCCCAAGTGCTTTGTGTATTGGAAACTGTGAATAAAAAGGTAAGGGCGGGGGGGAGAGAAAGAAAGGCTGTCCACTGCGCTCACCCAAACCCCAAACCTCAGACTCTTGGAAGGGAGCGGCTGCCTGAAACCGTCCCAGACGGCAAGGCAAACAGACGGCCTGCGGGGCGGGCAGGGACTGTCCAGAGGCTCCGATGGCTGCCACCCTGGAGGCCTTGGCCGCCCTGCCCGGGGAGGAGCCTGCAGATCCTTTTTAAGTTTCTGAACACAAGATGCTTCCTGCCCGCTGCCTCCTCACCTTGCTCCCCCTGCTGGGGCTCCTGGCTGACCCCCAGCCTCCCTCTGGCCAGCCGTCACCTCTCCTGGCAGCGCTTATCTGGGGGAGCAGGAGTCCTACCTTTCGGATCCCCCCACCCCCTTCCTGAAAGAAGGTATTGTTATTGTCTCAGAACTGCCCAGGTCAGGAACAAAGGCGGGCCGGGGCTTCTGGAGGCGGGATGCGATGGAATTGGCATTCCTCCGAAATGGCTGGCGATTATGGGCGGCCCGTTTCTGCTAACAATTACCTGCTGACACCGAGAGGCATCGGCGCCTCTGGGCTCTGGTTCGGTTTTCCTCTTCCCTTTTCCCTTCTTTGTGGAGCCTTCAAAAAAATAAATAAATAAAAATAAAAACAAAAAACCGGTGCACACTGGAGTTCAGATGCAGACAGGTCTGGTGTATTCATCTCCATGACACATGTGTAAATCTGACCGGACACACAATTATTTTCCATGGGTGGGGTGTGTGTGTGAGGGTGTGTGTGTGTGTGTGTGTGTCCATTCTTGAAGAAGATGATTTATTTCCTTTTACAACCCAGTTGTCTTTTGAAAACGGGATTGTAGGAAACAGAGAGAAAGCATGATATGGTTTGTTTCACAAGTAGATTTAGTGTTTTTTTTTTTTTTTTTCTTCTCTAATGATCTGATTTGAGCAAATGCCTGGTGCATAATTGATGCTCAGCAAGCATTGGCTGAAAGGAATGGCACCTGCCCGGCTTGGTCTGCTCGAGTGGAGGAAGTCGGACGATACCCCTGAAGTGGCTCAGGGGGCTGGGGGAGTGTCGTGGTTGGTTCAGGAGACGGAAGAATTTTGAAACGAATGCGATGACGAAGCAGATGGTCCGGGCGTTCAGTTAAAACAAAAAGCCCATTTTTGTCTCTTTATATATATCTTTCGAGTGATCATTCAAACTCTGGAGTTCCTTAGCCTCAGAACGTGACCCCTATGTTGCTGAAAATAGTCATGTGACCTTCTGGACAACACTTCTCAATGAGCCCCTTTCTCATGTTAGAAACGAGAAACCGCCTTGTCTGAGTGTCCGCAGACGTGTGAGGTGCACTAGCTCGGGCTCGGGTGGGATGCTGACCCCGAGACAGGCGCTGTTGGAAGAAGCCAACCCAACCGAACAGCCGGCGGACAGCACTGTGCATCCTGACAGAGAAGCCGGGGGTGGCACTGCTGGGGACCCATGACCGCCGCCTGGTGAGGGGGAAGATACCCCGGGAACACCCCCTGAGGGCTGACCTGCCTCAGTAGCCCAGTTGACAGCTGGACTGAAAACTCGCTGGACACCAGGGGATTTGGTAGTTTGGGGGTGGACGGAAGAGCCCCCGAGACCTCAGACACGGGCCACCTCCTTGAGAAGCAGCAGGTGTCAGGGGGTCACGACCATATGATAATTCTTTGTAACGTGAAGTGATTCCTTTGGGTGAGGATGGATGTGACAGCAGATACAATAGGCCTTCAGCCTTCGTTTGTTTCAACAACACTGAAGTGTCACCTTCGCCTTTCACCCCTCAGTTCCTGCCTCCCCGGACCCCTCTTCCAGGCCCCACACACGGATTTTCATTTTCAACACTTAGCGCCCGACGTGGGGCTCTGAGATCACTGGCTCAGAAAACGGGAAAGGTCAGTCTGACTAACGCCTCGCCCGGCGTCCTCGGATTAGCATCCAAGAGCAACAGATCCGAGATGGGCCGCAGGCTCCCGGGAGACGGAGGATTCCCACGTGTGAGAAAGCCCCGGGGGCAAGGCTCCCTGACATCACCCACGTCCAGGATCCAGGGCTTCACCTGACGGGGGTGAGAGCTGGAATCCTACCGGAAGAACACCAGCGCCAGGCCTGTGGGTTCAGAGGGAAAGGGGAGAGGGGAGGGAGAGAAGCTGTTTTCTGCTAATCAAAGGAGAAACCAAACCAAACGGAGGGAGTCCAAGAAAAATACAACTCTATTGTTCCGGGGCAGAAGATGCTGGCTGGGAGGCCTCCTTGAGCAATGCCGGTCACACCCTTTCTCTGTGGGACTGCAGGAATGTTGGCTGTTCCCTGGGGGCCAGGTGGGAGGCGGGCAGACAGGTCTTTGGGGATGAGGAGTGCTTGGAGCTGGAACTCTCTGAACATCCCCATGGCCTTGCAGCTGGGAGGCGGACACGGAGCAGCAGGAATGTGGGTTGAATGAGAGCCAGGAAGCAGCAGTCACGGTAAGGGATTGGGGAGGGTGGGGGGTGGGGTGGTGGAGGAGGAGGGACAAAGGTGCAAGAAAACTCGGAAACGGGGAGGGAAATGACCCTGTTCCTTTTGTCCTCTCCCAACTGGGGCTTCTGTGTCCTCGAGGGCCCCCTTGGCTCCCGTTCACTAAGCCGGAGGGCGGGGACCAGGGAGAAGTGGCCTGTCTGGGGCTGGGGTGCTACGGGAAGCAGGAAGTGCCAGTCATTTCACAAGAAGGCTCCACAGTGGGGAGGGAGCCAGCAAAAGCTGGCAGACTCCCAAGGTAGGTGGGGTGGGGGAGTCTGGCCTGGCGCTCAGAACCCGAGGCTTCCCAGAATCCTGTGGGTTTGCCATAGGCCAGGGCTACCCGCCCCGACACAGCCCTTTCTCTTCCCCACCTGTGACTGTCTCTACGGTGACATGTCAGCGGCTGGCCGCGAACGTCCATGGTCCAAGGAAGGATGAATGTGACTGACGTCTTGGCATGTTAGCTTTTCCCAAGAGCGAGCTCTTCACTGTAACTCTCATGAGTGCATGTGGGCCAAGAGAGACCCCGCCATCTATTTTCCCTGTCTTGGCTCCTTGCTCCGTCTCATTCAATTTCAGCAAGAACCCCGTTTGTGCCGGTTCCGCTATGGGACCGCCTGGAGCTCCACGTTTGCGATAGGGATGCTGTTGGGTCGGCCATGGTTCATTTTCTTCTGAACATGCCCATCCTTCTACGTGGATCTGTGTCTCTTCCCAAAACTCCAGCTCCAACTCCCCACATGCAAACTTCTCTTCCTCCACTACAAACAGCAAAGACTCCTTTGGAAAACCTTGAATGCCGAGTGGCTCGCAGTCACCCACAACGCCCCGTCTTGGTGTCGCAGAAGCGGGCTCCCTCTGAGAGACAATGTCACGAGGGCGCTTTCCCCGTTTTCCAAAGTGCTCGCCCTGCGGTGGGAGCTGTTTGTCCCAGGGTCTCTGGACTGAGGCCGAGGAACGTTATTGCGGATCTACCCCACAGCGACGGGCTGGAGTCAGAGCCTCTGGGCTCTCGCTCTCCCTCTCTGTCCGGAGCAGCTTGCTCTGTGACCTCAGAAAAGCTACGCCATTTCTCTGGGCTTCGGGGCCATGTCCTACTCAAAGGCGCTTCGTCATCAAAATTCAGCCCGTACTCAGTCTTTCTTTTCTCTTTCCCAAGATCGGGGCGCTTCCCTTAGAGATCCCCCAACAAGCTCTCCTTACGGAGGAGTCTGCTAGGAAGGAGTCCACAGGAGCTTAGAGTGAGGAAGGGCTGGAAGTGGCCAAGAGCTTTTTGGGCTGAAAGGTGACAGCCCTTTTGTCTTTAAGGAATCCCATGCCTTATCCTGCCCCGTGGTTGGCAAACTCATCAGTCAACAGAGCCAAATATCAACAGCACAACGATTGAAATTTCTTTGAGAGCCACATTTTTAAAACTTAAACTATCTAGGTAGATACATACATGGTTATTAACTTAATCAGGGTACTCCTAAGCTGGCCTTTGCTAAGAACTTAAGGGGCCCAAGAGCCGCATGTGGCCCACAAGCCGTAGTTTGCCGACCGCAGTCCTAGCCGCAGAGAAGCACTCCTCATCTGAGGGGCTCCCACCCTGGCACTTTCGGGGTGTGGGGTTCGCATGGCAGCCGCTACGGAAAATCTCTCGGAGCTGCAGGCGCGGGGATGAGCCAGCCTGGAATGCTCCCACGGTCGCAACTGTGTTTACGGGAGAGCATATGGATGGAGTTTAGCTCTGAGACATTCCCATCGCTTTTTACAGGAAGACTTTCCAGCCAATAAAAGGCATACCTTAACCACTGCCGGCGTCCGAGTTCTGTCTGTCTGTCTGTCTGCTATGGTGCAGGGTTCCCAGAGGAATCTCCGACCTCTCCCAGCTCTGTGTCACAGCTGTCCTGTCCAGGATTCAGAATGTAAAACTTAAGCACTCAAAGCAGCACTTTGCCAGCTGTACGGAAACAGCTCTTTGAGGGGCCCTTGGTTTGGGGGTGCCAGCCTTAGTGCTGGGGCCCTAAGTAGAGGCCTCAGCGGTACATAAGTGATGGGCGGGAAGCCAGGGCAATGAAAAGGACTTACTGTTGGCTGTGTTCTCGGCTAAAATGGGGTGGGTGCTCATGGGTGCCTTCTCTAACAATACTGTTGCTGCCGCTGCTGCTAATAATAATAATATTCCTTGAATTACATATTGAACAGCCACCGTGGGAGGGAGAGAGGGAGAGTCAGAGCGAAACATTGATGTCAGAGAAACTCATCAACTGGTTGCCTCCTGCATGAGCCCCAGGCCGGGGAGGAGCCTGCAACCAAGGTGCGTGCCCTTGACCAGAATCGAACCCGAGACCCTTGGGTTCACAGGTCGATGCTCTATCCACTGAGCCAAGCCCATTTTCACAGTTAGCCACACTTTCTTTCAAAGTGGGTTGCCAGCTTTTGGGAGCTGACACCCCCTCTTTGAAAGGGAGAGCAAGAAAGACACCTTGTCACCTCCGAGCCATCAGGGCTGAGTGGGAGAAGGGACCAGCCCTTCTCCGGAAGCCACTGCCGTCCCAGCCAAGAGGGTGCTGGGCCTCAGGTTGAGGCAGGTTCTCACGGAGCAGCCTAATGTTTGCAAAACAAGCACCAGGATGAAGAGGTTCAGTCTGCGGAGCCGTCCAGTCCCATCCCGTCCCGGGTTGCGACAGTCTTGGAAGATGTGAGCTGGTGGGGGAGCCCGGGGAGGGGAGGCTGGGAGGCAGGCCTGCCTGGGGAATGCCGGCCCTCTCTGTTCAGGGCCCGGGATTCAGGGCGCTGAGCGAGGAAGGGCTAACTGGCCAGGGTAATTGTCCAGTGTTTATATTTGAAAAGGGATACTACACTTCCAGGATAATTCCCCTCAGCCTCCTCTGGGGCTAAGATTTCCAGCGAGTCCAGAATCCCGAGGAGAAATCAGGGCCTGATTACCTGGCCGGCCCGGCTGCAATCACACCTTTCAATACTAATTATCTGCTCCTTGAGTTCAACGACATCGAGCGTCCCGGCGCTGGCCGGGGCGGACCTGGCTCAGTGGTTTGCATCACCGGCCGGAGACAATGATTCGAACGGACAAAGTGCCCGCACTGGGCCTTGATAAGCAGGAAATGAACGCTTGTTTGCAAATAAGATTGGGAAATGCGATCAGTTTCTTGTTCGGCGTTTGTCTTTGGGTTCCTGGCCTGATCATACGAAGGCAGAAATAGTATGTTAGAAGTCACCAGTGAGGGAGCCTTTTTGCAATGACCTCCGCACACTCCAACTTTCTAAAGCAACTACAGAGGCAAATAGGATGTGTGTGTGTGAGTGTGTGTGTGTGTGTGTGTGTGTGTGTGTGTGTGTTTCCCTGTGAGTATTCCAGCTTGAATTTTTCTTTGCGGGGATTTGGGGAGATGGGTAATGATTTGATAGGATACTTTCTCAGGGTCCAGATTTGGTCACAAGCATGGCTTTTCCCTCCATGGAAGAGAAATTTTCGTCTACTTAAATGGGGTTCACTAGTTTCATAAACAGCTTTGTTGCACACTCATGCCCTGGGTGGATTGCTTGGGGGCTGGGACAATGCCCAGTGTCATGGCTCTCGGAGGAGGAGCAGCTGGGGGTGGGGTGGGGAGGTGGGGGGTTGGAGGAGAGGCAGATCCAGGCCAGCGATCTGCCCAGCTGCCTGCACTGGGGTCCATGTGAATGTATCATTTCTGGAGAAGGAGTGCCCGGGACAAGGAGTCAATGTTCCCGGTCTGTAATCTTTCGGGGAATGTTGCTTTCATAGCCTGACTCCTTGATCATCAACTAGAGAAGACTACTCTCATGAGTTGAATTGTGTCCCCCACTAAAAACAGATGGTGAAGGCCTAACCCCCAGGACCTCAGAATGTGACCTTAATTGGAAATAAGATCATTACAGATATACTTAGTTAATGAGGTCACATTGGAGTAGGGCAATGGTCGGCAAACTCATCAGTCAACAGAGCCAATATCAACAGTACAAAGATAGAAATTTCTTTGGAGAGCCACATTGTTTTAAACTTAAACTTCTTCTAATGCCACTTCAACATAGACTCGCCCAGGCCGTGGTATTTTGTGGAAGAGCCACCCTCCAGGGGTCAAACAGCCGCCTGTGGCTCACGAGCCGCGGTTTGCCGACCACTGGAGTAGGGGGTTGGGACCCATCCAATAGGTTTGATACCCTTCTGAAAAGGGGGAATGTGGACCCAGACACACAGAGGAAGATGCAGGGGGGACACACCAGAGGGGAGGATCAGATTGGAGCATCTATAAGACCGGGAACACAGAGGCCACCAGGAGAATGACACGCCCAGGTCTGCTGAGGGAGCATGACCCTGCCCATACCCTGATTTCAGACTTCTGGGCTCCAGGAAGGTGAGACAATCCATTTCTGTCGTCTTACCCCACCCGGCGTGCGTCACGGTGTGACGGCAGCCCCGGGAAGTAATGCACGTCGCTGCCACAGAGCCAAACAGTTCAGACGGGAAGAGCCGTGTCAGCCCACCCACGCCAGGGAACACGCAGGGCACGGCCTTTGCTTTTCCAGCCCGGGCAGTGGGAGGTTCTCCTGGGCCTGTTCCCACTGAGGTCCCTGCAGCCTCTGGCTTCTCCTGGAGGTGTTTTGGTTTCAGGGGACAAAACCAACCACAAGCACAGCCCGGGCCACATTCCCAACAGGCCAGGATGTAACCGAGACAGCTGTTTGCGATGGTGGACTTCCACTCTGCATTCCTGCTTCGTGCTCTGAGCTTCCCCGCCTTTCCCCTCGAAGGGCAGCCAAGAGAAAAACACCAAGAACAGGAATTGACTTGAGAGCCAAACATGGTGAAAACCACCTGCAGGTGTGCCCTGGCCGGTGTGGCTCAGTTGGTTGGGTGTTGTCCTGTGCACCAAAAGGTTGCTGGTTCTAATCCCAGTCAGGTGCATACCTAGATTGCTGGTTGGATCCCCAGGAGGGGGAATGCAGGAGGCAGCCGATGGATGTTTTACTCTCACATTGGTATTTCTCTTTCCTTCTCCCTTCTCTTTCTCTCTCTCTTGCTTCCGCTCTCGCTCGCTCTATCTCTTTAAAAAAAATCAATTAAAAAATCTAAAAAACCACAACAAAGCAACCCCAAAACGAACACATGCAGTTTCAATGAATTTTCTTACCTACTTGGTCAATCACGGGGCCCTTTGTGATGGAGTGTTGCTTTAACGCTCCTCCCATGCGCCTTTCCTACCTGTCAGTGGGACCCCGAAGGAAGGGGAGACCCTCCGGTGTATGAACCTCACTGTTCTCGCTCTGTCACTGTCCTGAGAGTAACCAGGTCCACAGGTCGTGACGAGTTTCTCTCTCCACTTGGCTTCTACTTTACAATGGCACACACAACAGGGAGGTGATTGCTCTCGCTCCAGCCCTCGCTTTTTTGCCAGCATGGTACTTCCCACCATTGAACCCCAGAGCTGTAGGACCTTCAGAGGAAGGACCTTCAGCTATAGGATCAACATCAAAGCTCTCTGGTGTTGGCTTGAGAATGCTGAGGTTCAAACTTGCCCTAGACACTCTTGCCCTAAAGCAGACTTTTAAACCTTATTGTCCGAGTCCTGCCATGGCCCACCTTCCCTTCTCTGGAAGCTTCCAGGCTTGGCTCAGGATTGGACAACTCCTCATCGGACCACTTAGGGTGGCTCTCGCTCTCTCCTTGCAGGCTGCCCTCCCTCCTTGGGCTCCCTCCATCGGGAAGGAAAGGATAACTACTTGCTGGAAACCTGCTCTTGGCCATGCGTCATGCCGAGAGCTTGGAGAGTTTTAGCAGAAGAGAGGACGGTGGCTCGGGGCGGTACAAGTCCTGGCCAAGGTCAGACAGCTGTTAAGTTAGGGCTGGAACCCACACTTCTCTGGGGAGGCCCTTTCTCCAGTGAGAGAAAGGGTCCAAGCCCCAGTGCCTTGTATGGGCGTGGCTGTCACCAGCGACATGTCAATGCTACCCCTGTGCTACATTTCACTGCTGCTCTTCCCGCTCCGCTGTGTCTTGTTTCCATGCCAACAAGAGCCTTTTGGTCCAGCGGGAGCCTGGCCTGCTATCTGAAAACAAGGCGATTTATTTTTCCTTCTCCAAGCCTTCCTGACATAAAATGCACAGCCATGGTGGGGGCACACACAGCCTCCCCTGGCACATTCCTAGGTTCAGCGTCAGAGACAAAGCAACACAGCAAATATTTGGTGGCTCTCGCGATGACCTGGGGGAGAGGGTGATGAGTAAGCTCCTCTATTCGAGTTGCTTTCTCGCTTCCACAGGGATGACTCAAGCACCGCTAGGCCAGTCAACAAGCC